TGGCTCACTGCAGCCTCAAACTCCTGAGCTTAAGAGATTCTGCCTCAGCCTCCCGACTAGCTGAAATTAAAGGTGCATGCTACCATGCCCACCTAATTTTTCAATTTGTAGAGACAGAAGTCTCACTATGTTGCCTAGGATGGTCTCAAATTTTTAGACTCAAGCAATTCTCCCACCTTGGCCTCCCAAAGTGTTGAGATTACAGACATGAGCGACTGCAGCTGGCCTAATTTATTTATAAGCAATGAGGTTATAATAAACTTTTATTTGATTTCTGACAGGCTGATAAAATGTTTATTTCTAATACAATCAGACTTTGTCTATTACATAGTTTGAAAACAATGACATACATGTTTTGCAGTTTTATATATTTGCCTGAATCTGCAATCATATCAGGAATTGTGCCTCGAACAGGTAAATTTCCTTGACCCTCTTTGGCCACAAATTCCTTTAAGGCACGAGCTAAAATCCAAAATGATGGAGTCTAAAAAAATAAAAAAAAAAATTAACATTAAGTGGGGTTTTATTTTGACCCAAAGGTTTAGACAGCAATGTTTTTACTTTTGTCGTTGTTACCTGTTTGGTGATATTTATGCAGCGATCATCATTAAATATATCTTCAATACTGCTTGGGATCTAACAAAGGAACATGAAACATTTACTTACACAGTATTAAGAATTTGCCCATCTTTATTTTCAGTGCTAATTCTTCAGATACATTCTTTGAATTCTCACACCGTAATCAAATACAAACTTCACTATTACTAGCATTTAATACCTTTTCTCTTATACCATAAATGGAGTAAAGAAGGAGCCCCAGTAAATTATTTTATGTAGTTACATCTGAAGATACAACAGATTATAGACTTGTAGTGTTTCATGATTTTCCAACTTGTCAAAAATTTGAAACCCTTGCACCCTAATTAGTGACCGTTGAGACAACCACTCTGAAAAAAACTGAAACTATAATTTTATTGCAAGATCATCATACATTAATCAAAAGTATAAAGTCAGGCACAATAGTACACACTTATAATCCCAGCATTTAGAAGGCCAAGGTCGGAGAGTCATTTGAGCCCAGGAGTTTGAGACCAACCTGAGCAACACAGGGAGACCTTATCTATACAAAATGTAAAAGTAAATTAGCTGGGTGTGGTGGCACATGCTTGTGGCCCCAGCTACTTGGGAGGCTAAAGTGGAAGGATCACTTGAGCCCAGGATGTAAAGGCTGCAGTGAGCAGTGACTGCACCACTGCACTCTAGCATGGGTGACAATGTGAAACTCTGTCTCAAAAAAAAAAAAAAGTATACAAATCATAGGCTTTGATTCTACTGTTGCGTGGAAAAAAAGAAATTTCTTGGTGCTACCTCCTAACTGGTCTCTCTGCTTCCACTCCCAGTCCCCTAAATTCTGTTCTCCTCACCACTGCCAGATGGTCTTTTAGAATATAAAGCAGCTTACGCCGCTTCCCTGATGGAAATGCTTAAATGGCCTGCAAGGACTTGTCATAATCTGGCCCTTTCTGCCTCTCCAAACTCAAATCCTTCCTACCACTTTTCCCCCCTTTTTCACTTCATTCCAATCACATTGACTTGTTTACTGATGCTTGAACAAAAGTCAAGCTTCATCCCACTTCTGGGCCTTTGCACATGTGCCTCCTCCAACTGAAAAGCTCTTCTACCAGATCTCCGCATGCCACTTCACTCAGGCTTCTCTTAAACATCTCTTGGAAAGCTTCCCTGGCTCCCTATCTAAAATTGTCTCTCAACCCCAGATCCCAATTTCCCAACATGCTTTCTTGCCCCTTTGTTCTGCTTTAATTTTGTTCACAGCACCTGGTGCATTTTTATCTGTTTATTTAGTTTACTGTCCCCCAACTATTAGAACCTTTTCAACTGCCGTTTTATATTCAGTGAAATACAGAGAATTTAAATGTCCAATTCAATGCATTTTGATAACTATATATATATATATATATATATATTTTTTTTTTTTTTTTAAACAACCC